AAATCAGCCCATTTTCCGTTGATGGGAACCAGTGATAAAGATATGTAGAAGCAAATGTTTGGCTTATTATCCATCATCGGGAGCTATGTAGATATGATAAAATTAGCTTGTTATCTTTTGATGGGAGCTATTTAGATACAGAAAAATAGGCTCTTTAGTCATTGTTGGGAGCCAGAAAGATGTAGCAATAAATACTACAGTAGAGATCACAATCGTAAAAAATGTCCAGTCATGTCGTGGAGATAGATGCAGCAGAGTCTAGCCATGTGTATGAAAATAGATGTTGAAGTGGATCATATCTGCAATATTTCTAGTGAAATAAATGAATGTCGTTTCTGGCGATACTGACTCTATTGCAGTCATTAGCAAAAATAAGAGATGGCATGTATGAGGTGGAAATAAAATCATTTGGGCTCTTACTAGTCGCAAGTCCAAAGTCGATCTTGTCGACATGGCACTACACATGTTGTGAATCTCAAAACAATATAAATTCATCCCTCAACAACATGTTATTCATAAGTCTATACATATACTTATGAATTAATGAAATCAAGGAGAGAATTAAGGAAATATTTTAGAGCATTGAAAATTAGTTAAAGGGATGATGATAATTGATGGCTGAATCTTCTTACTGTGGAAACTTGCAATTGACTCTTATGGTCATTGATAGAATTAAGTCTTGATTTTGTTGATTTAGTTTGTCTTTGGTTAATAATGAATCAACTTTTCTAAGAGTTGTTGGGTGAAACTTATAAAAAAAATAATACAAATGAAAATTTCAATGGTGTGTGTGACTTTGGTATTGAATCTTCTTACAGTGTGAACTTGTAATGGGCTCTTATTGTCATTCATAGAATTAAGGCTTGATTTTGTTGATTTCATTCTTGTGTCTAGTCAATCAGGAATGTTTTTTTTTTTTTTTTTCTAAGAGTTGTTGGGTAAAACTTATAGAAAATAATACAAATTGAAAATTCAATGGTGTGAGTGTGACTTTGGTACTGGATCTTCTTACAGTGTAAAACTTGTAATTGGCTCTTATGGTCATTCATAAAATTAAGGCTTGATTTCGCTGATTTTATTCTTGGTCTAGTCAATAAGGAATGATCTTTTCTAAGACTTGTTAGGTGAAACTTGTAGAAAATAATACAAACTAAAATTTCAATGGTGTGATTGTAACTTCGGTGGGCCTCTAATAACACGGGACAAGAGGAAAAAGAATGGAAAAAGGAAGTGGAGAAAGAAGTAACATTAAGAAAATGATGGCTTAAATGACCCATTTCATTCTAACATAAAAGATATTTCAACAGATGAAACTAATATATAAGGTTAAAATTAAGAGTATAATAGGAAAGTAAAAACGAGAAAACAATGGGCGTGATCAATCCTTAAACTACTTCATTTCTACAGAGAATGGTAAATAATCTTAAGTAGATGATAGGGGTGCTTTACCTAAAAATAAACAGAACTATACCTTGTTTTTTCTTTGTTTATTTCCATCCCACATTTCCCTTTATCCACAGTTTAGGTCTCATTAGAATTTTCAAGAGCCTGACATTAATAACCCAACAATACTGTCCGTCACTACTGCAGGAATGGGATTTCCGAACCGAAATATCGGTCCGAATATATAGGAAATCGGTCTGAATATATATATACGGACCGATATTGGTCCTTATAGTTGATCTGAAAAAACCTGGTACGAATAAGTCAAATATAC